ATATTCATGCATATTCTGTCTCATTGGGACCTGGTCCAAGTTTGGGTCTTGACCTGCTGGATGCTGATTTGGGATTGCTATTCTCAATATCTTACCAACCCCTGAGTAGCCGTTGGGCTGTCTAGCTTTCTTTCAACGGCAAAACGGACCCGGACACCCCCCCCGTTTGTGGGTTCCGTATATCCTAGTTTCAGATGCAATCCGAGGGGTCACCCCAGCTCAGATGACTCGACATTCTTTTGGGTAGGGTGATATGCGAGAGCTCCCGGATTGTTAAGGCAGAGTGAACCCTGTAAAAAAAAAACAGAAGACATGAAAGGAGCCTAAGGTCCTAGATCGTGGACGGGAGGGCGCGGAACCCTCCACAAGAATTGGGCACCCTCCAAAGAAAAAAAAACGGCCACGGGGGACCAATCAGACGAGAGAACCTCAATTCCATGGAGGGTCACCCTGACCTTGGGACGGGGTCGAAATTTCTGGCCACCCTCTCCTGACAGGGGTGTCCAAAATGTCTGGGAGGTCACCATCAATCCTTTCATCTCCGCCCTGGCGGCGGGCAATGCAGTGATCGTCAAGCCCTCCGAGCTCGCGCCGGAGAGCGCCTCGATCCGGAGATCTCGGGAGTCACCTCAGCGGCCGCGCGGGAAGTGTTTTTTTCCATAAGTGGCCCAGGGGAAATTCCCGCCCCCGTGCTTTTGTTTTTATTATTGTTATCATGTTTTTGTTTGTTTATTTATTTTTTCTTACCGGGGTGGGTGGGTCCGATTCCTTGGAACTCAACCAACCAAAAAGGGATATAAAGGGATGCCCTTTTTTTTGTTCTCATGGCAATTGTAAGGAACTCTATGGAAGGCAAAGGAACCCTAGAACTTCTGAACTGCCCACCCTCCTTGTACCTACGCTTCTTAGGGATTCCATGATTTTCGTGTGGTGATGAGAGAAGAATTCTTGGGGACCTTTTGTGAGTGATAGGGATTTTAGTGGGAAACACTCTCGGTGGGTGGACATAAGCTTCTATATGATGTCCACCACGTCACAAACAGCCAACTAGAGCACTGCGAAATTGAAACATGCCGACCAAGGAACGCGGACCCTGGGCGCACAGTGAAGTCGTTGAACGCGGCAAAAGTTCGAGTTTCATTTTGCCCCCGGCTAATTACTGGAACATATACGGCTTGAATCCTGGAGGAACTCCTTGGCCTGCCCATGTAAATGGTGGGTTCCCAAGAATTGAGATTCATACCCATGCACTTGTTCGTATACACATATCTATATATTACCCTTGTTAGGTTCACTTTAAAGGGCAAAAGGAGTCTAAGGAAAACCAACCACTTTTAGGGGTTCCTTATTTTGAGGCACACTCGGCTGAAGCAAAATCAGCGCGTTTGCCTAACCGCCTATCGTCTGAGGTGCTTTGATCATGCAGAAAATCTTGGGGCGACTGGACCCACGTGCCGCGCCTCGGATGAAAGAACGGCCGATGGGCAGATGATCCACTCGGATTTGCACTAGGTTTGAATTGACGGACTTTATCATGGTTGTCGTTGGGAAACATTTTCCCATTTTTGCTTGTTGCGGTTTAGTGGGAAATCCCCACTAAACTGCTAAAACATAATTTGTTGCTCCCCTTCCAACGTCAACCAAGAATCATTGACGGACTTTAGAAACTTGTTGGGAAGACTATGTTAGTGGCAAATAACATGTTTTTGCCAATCCATTCAGGAAGTGAGCTAAACCTTTTTTGCCTGTTTTATCATTTCTCATGGGACAACCAAGTACTCCTCGTAAATTCATCTGAAACCACAAAACAGATTTCCCAAAAGGAACCTCCTCTTGCAATGGATCGGTTCTCAGATTTGTTGGGATCCAGGTTGGCTTTAGAAGTTCGACGGTTTCCCCACGAACATTTTGTGTCATGGGGATTTGGACCCCAACAATTGTTTGTTGTCCCTTTGGTTTCCCCTTCCTAGTGATGCCATTTCCCTGTATAGCAGGCAACCAACAGAACCCTTTAAATATCAACAGGAAAATGGCTGGTTAGCCACTATTAATATGGGTACCTGGGATCCACAGAAAATCTGAAAAGGGCAACGTTCGCCTCAAAACACAGACACACAACCATCCAACAGTGTCTTCCATTTGCTGAAATGAATATGTTAAATATGTTTCCCTTGTTGGGCTTCAAGGGAATCGATTTCCCTATGGACAAACATGTTCTCGTATTTGTTACCAGGGGCCGAAATTCAGCCAACGGAAGGTGTGAGTTCGTTGGGGGCAGTTGGGTTTCGCCCCGAAGCGGCCGCCTGGAGGGATTCCCAACTTCCATTTGCTACTTGTTTGAATATATGATTTATTTTCCCCTGTTGGTTTCAAAAGGAATCCATCACTACAGGAAAGATTTGTATTTTTTCAAGGGGGCTCCTTAAAATATACATTTTACAACCATCTGAAACATGCTGCTTTTTCAACATTAAAGTTGGATACCAGCATTTACAAGTTGCAATGTTCAGGTGTTTTCTCTTGCATCCGGATCCCTGTTACATATATGACACATGTTTTTGGGGCACCCATTCCAAAGCACCAAATGGTGTGCCTAGGTTAGCTGGGCAATGCATCCGGATCCCTGTTGGGGGCGAAAAGAAGCAAATGAGCCACAATCAAAACCCGGGTAGATGAAGGTTAGTACGGGGCAGTCCCAGTCGAAAATAGTTGCGGCGCCTTTCGAGTTCTTGAAGCGTGGTTCTGGGTATCACCATTTTTGTACCGATCGGTTTTGACTGTAACCCAAATGGAAGCCAAGGTGCGGGTGGTGCTCGGAGGCCCGGAGGTGTCCCGAGAGCTGGTGGCGTCGCCCTTCGACCACATCGCCTACACAGGACCCACGGACGGCTCGCAGCGCGAGCGCGAGCGATGCGGCCGGGGTTGATTCAGATTGGGGGTTTGGGCTAGACCCAACCCTAGTCCCAGGGTTAAGGGTTAGGTTGCAACCCGTGAACCAGTGAACCAGTGGATTCCTTTTCCATTCTTTTCAACTTCTCGTTCTTCGCAAAAACCGGATCTGTTTTCCCTGGGTTTCGATGGTTTTGCTGAAAAGAAGGATCCCTGAACAGAATGGGGAAGGTACCCCTAGAGCGGACGCCTGGAGCGCCTGGATCGTCGGGTAAAAAGGGGAACCCCCTCAAAAGAAAGGGAACACCGAGAGCAAAAAAGGGGTACCAACTCTTAAAAGATTTAAAAAGGACACACCCAAATGTGCATGGTCAGGCCCTCTCGCAGGGAACCACAAAAAAATGTCCCCAAAACCGGGCTCTCGACATTTCCCCTTTCCACATCAACCGAGACCCTAGCGCGAAACCTCACTTCTCAGCCGAGAAGATGGTGCCTCGTGGTCAAGGGTTTTATTGTTGTTAGTGTTGTTTCACGGGGAGCTGAAAGGAAGATCACCCACCCCGCCAAAAGTTTTAGGTTAAATGGAAACCATGCCCCTTTCGTCAGTTTGCCACCCTGCTTTAGGGACACCAAAAGGAAAACCACCGTTGGGGGGGATCCTCTCAAAAAAACACTCGCAGTCACTTATTTTATGAGCAACGATCAATATTTGCTGCCATTCCACCAAAAGCCAATTTGGGTGTTTCTTTTTTGTTTCTTTTCGTTTTTTGCCGAGTCCCCCCCCCAAAAAAAAACAACTATATGGTGGCTTTGCTTTGGCTGCTTACTCCGATTTGCTGTTTACCAAAAGACCATAAGGCTTTACTCACCCAACTCCATTGTCACTGGGACGCCACACGCATATTTGCTGTCTCGACTTCTTTTTTTTCCGGGAAGACCATTTTATTCGAAAACAACAAGGTCAGTAACTTTCATTTGCTGAAATGAATAGTTGTTCATTTTCCTGGTTGGTTTTAAAGGGAATCGATTTCACTGCAGAGGTAGGTTTCTCGTATATTTCCAAGCGATATTCAGCAAGTGTAAACTAGGTCCCCAGTAGTGCCCTCTCTCACCCCTTTTTTGGTTGGGCGGGTTCCCCTGCTAGACTACATAACAAGTAGAGCACCCTTATTCTAAGCTCTGAAATCCGGACCTAGTCGCTACCAAAGTATGTTTTTTTTCTTCTTATTTTTTTCTCATATAAGCCACAATCAAAACCTGGGTAGATGAAGCTTAGTAAGGGACAATCCCAGCCATAAATAGTTGCGGCCGCCTTTCTAATTCTGTACATGGTTCTGGGTTCACCATTTTTGTACCGATCGGTTTTGATTGCAACTCATATTTTTTCCCGGGCGATGGTCGAAAGTGAGCTGCAGCTCCTGCAGGCTCTGGCCGAGTGGGCAAGCTGGTGTTCGAGGCCGCGGCCGCCAACATGATACCGGCGCCTCGAGTGAAGCGGAGTGCAACTTGAGTGCCTTGTTTTGGTCCGCTGGGTGCCACAATAGCTCTGGGGGATGAAACAAACGACCTCACACGACCGAATTCACCCCAAATTGTGGTTTATGTGGGGAATAGCACCCCAACCACCTTATTTCAGGTTGGTGAAATAGTATACAGTATAATTCACCCAGATAGCTTCCATGTGCGTGTCAGAATTGTCCCCTGTTGGTCTTACAGGGCTCAATGTGGGACGTCCAGTAGCGTTTCAGGATACTTGTTGAGCTTTCCTCTGTTGGTTTGGATTGGAATCGATCTCACTACTGGAAATATGTCTATATGATATGTCTTACTTTTTCCAGGACAACAAGCACACAAGTTGGGACCCGGTGCTGGGAATGTTTGATTGCTTTTCCAGACTCCCTATTTAACGTCCCATAGGTTTTCTTCTTGTACAAGGGAAACATGTAGGGGGGGAGGAAAGCACGTTTGTTCAAGCAGGGCATGTGAATGGCATTTGTTTGTCAATTGAGCCCCTCTCGCCAGGAAATAGCCCCGGGACCTTCCCAGGAAGGATTTTTACGCTGTTGATCAGGCCTCCTTCAAGGATACACATTTTGCAACCATTTGAAACATGGCTGGCTTTTTCAACACCAAAGTAAGGTTGGAAACCAGCATTTACAAGTTGCAATGTTCAGGTGTATAATGCATCCGCATCCCTGTTGAATCCTCGCTTCAGCCAAGGTGACTCTCGAGCTCGGCGGCAAGTCTCCCGTGCTGATGTGTCCGAGCCTGAGAAAGGGAGTTACAGAGTTGGGAGTCCGTTTCTTTTCTGTTCTTTTTTTCTTTCGGGGAAGGAACTACTCACTTCCCGAGTTCCTGGACTTGATACCTTTTTGGGAAGTCCATTTCAGTGGCAAATGGACGGGTTAGAATTTTTAGGTGCCCACCCACTCGATCGATCGGAAGTTAGTTCAAGACCCCCCCCCAACCCACCCCCCGCGTTCTGTTGGTTCTTCCCTTGGCTCATTGACTAGGTAACCAGCAGTGCCCTTTCTCACCCCTTCTTTGGTTGGGAGGGTTCCCCTACTAAAATAGACTACAAACAGTTGGCACCCTTAACCTAAAACCTCTCTACTGGACCGGCTCATTCAGGCGGGGGTATCAACATCGCGGAGGCGTGCAAGCGGGTGATCACCGGGAAGTTTGTGAACTGCGGCCAGACCTGCATCGCGCCGGACTATCTGCTGGTGGAGCGCTCTGTGAAGGACGAGGAGCGGATCTGGCGGATTGATTCCGAATTCGCTTGGAGCTCCCCTTCTCTCCCGATTTGTTTGGGTTACTAGGCCCCCCAGCTAGGTGCCCTTTTACCGTTGTTGTTTTGGTTGGGAGGGTTCCCTGACTAAAATTGACAGAACAAAGAAAACAGGGTACCCTTATTGTAACCTCTCTAATGGAGGACCTGGGTTACCTCCAAAAGTGGCATCGATTTCGATGGGAAACCAACAGTAAATTGATGAACTTGTTTTTGGTGACCTTCAGAAGTGGCGGTTTCAACGGAAACCAAGTTGGGGAAATCCCGTGACCTCAGTCGGATCCATAAAGGGTCCCTCAAAATGATGGGGAATTGGGGGAGCGCGGAGAAATTTCACCCTTGCAGATCTCCATTGCTGGTAAACTTATTTTCCCTATGGGGAATACTAGGGGGTTGATTCTTTTCAACCATCGGTCTTTCCAAAAAACGCCCTTTTTTCCCTCGGTTTCCGGAGGTTTTCTAGAAAGAAGGATCCCTGGAAAGAATGGGGAAGGTACCCGTAGAGGAATACTAGATTGGTGGAATTGAAAAAACACGCCCACCCACCCCCTTTAAGTGGGAATGGCAGCCTGGCAGAGTGTTTTCCTCCCCAATTCCACTCCCGAGAAGCGTTTTTGTTTTCTCTAAGAGGGACTCTAGTTCAGTTTGGTTTGCTTGTTTGTTTGTTTGTTTGTTTGTTTGTTTAGGCTTGCGGCTAACACTTGCTTTCATTTCAACTTGAGCTTTGGGCCATGCTTCTAGGTTTTTAGTTGGTGAAAGGTGGCTAGGTGTCCATTTCCCAGAAGCTAAACACTCATAGTCTTCCAACAGCCCTCTACCACCTTCAATGTAGGGTAAACAGCCCAGAATTGTTTCAAAGAGGCCAACAAAGATGGCAAGACCCATCTCTTTTGTGGATTCCGCCACTTCCCCACGGGTCAAGCCCAAAACGAGATGGCTGGTTCTGTTTGTTCAATGGTTTACCGCTTGGCCTGTATATCCCCAAAATATTTGGGGGATTTCGTTGGCCTTCGCTTTGCTTGCTTGGATCCCCGATTTTTGAAACCTGTGCGGCTTTAAGCGAGTTCAAAGGATCTTAAAGGGGGATTTTCAAAGGATCTCAAAGGCGTTGGTGCTCGTGGAGACACCTAAAGTTGTCGGCTTCCGCATAAACTCAGTTTTATAATATATATATATATATATATAAATATGCCCCCCCCCCCGCCCCTGAACCCTGGTTTTAGCGCCTTTTGGGTCCATTGGGGGGGGGTACCATTTTTTTAGTACATATATATATATATATATATATATGTGTTATAGAGAGAGAGATATCATCAAAAGAAACATACATAGAGCATACGTATATATATATATATACATACCATACATGCAGACCTGTAGTTGTTTTCGAGTTTTTGTCCAAGCGCCTGGGTATTGGATCGTAGAGGTGGTGGCGCAGCTGAAGGCGGCGGTCCAGGAGATGCTGGGCGAGGGCACGGCGGCGGCCAAGCGGATGCCGCGGATGATCAACGCCCAGGCCGATTCGATCCGGGTGCGCTCGAGCCGGGCATGAAACATGGTGGGACATACTTCAAATTTCACCATGGCCACAAAAAAAGATGATCCTTTTTGGTTGGTTTCCTCAAATCGAGGGCGATTCCTGGTTTTTTGGTGGGGTTTCTGCCCCATGTATTAGGGACACCCGTCCATTTTTTCGTCCATTTTGGCCATGCGCTGCCCTCCCCAGGAACCCAATCCGGAGCAACTCGGTCCAGCTGGGTGCCCTTAGTGTTGACCCCAATTCAATCAACCCCAGTTTATGAATGAGGGGGTGCTTCTCCCTGACTCATCAATTTTGGAGGGGAACGCCCTCTATGAATAAACTGGGGTTGATAGGCGCCCTTTCTCAGCCCTTTTTTGGTTGGAAGGGTTCCCCTACTAAAATAGACGACAGAGAAAAGCGTTCCCTTATTCTAACATCTCTACTGGAGGACCTAGAACAGAAACCCTGGAAGATTGGACACATATTTTTTGGTGCTACGTTGTTTGTTGAGTTTCCCTAAAAGGGAGCAAACAGCGACTGGATACTCTCCCAATGAACACAGAACCGTTCGACGTAAAAGGGGGTGCTGGTTTGGAGCATCTTGCTTTTAAGCGGACCGGGTCCCTTTCAGCCTCCATGTTGATTGGTGGCGGCCGTTCGACGTTCGGGGAATCGGCCCGGGTTTAGACCATGTAAGCAGTTCCCCAGTGGATTTCAGCATTTGTGCTTGGGAAGAAAGGCCCCCTATTTTTGTTGCTGGTTTGGGAGCAACCTGAACTCCATCCCGGGTTGGGGTTTAAGCTAGGCTCAACCCTAGTTCCCTCAGAGTTAAGGGTTAGGTTGCAACCCGTTAACCAGTTCACAAGTGGATCCCCCGATTCTTTTCAGACATCGTTCTTTTCGAAAACCAGCTGTTTCACCTGGCTTTTATCGTGGTTTCCTGAAAGCAAGGATCCCTGGAAAGAATGGGGAAGCTATGAACCAGTTCCCCTTTGCAGAAGGCTCCCCCCATGTTTTGTTACCGGTTCGCAATAGGTGTGTCCATTTAACCCACTCAAAGTGATTGACATCTATGTTTACGCATGTGTGAAACATATATATATATATATGTACATCTAGACACCCGCGTAGGAATATGTAAATGTGTAGATGTATCTACCCCCATCCAAGGCTTCTTATCATGTTTCAAAGCGCGGGCTCTGCGCATTTCAGTTGTTTATTGGTTTTATGTACAGCGTATTCCGAGTGTTTGATACCCACCAGCTCCTTGGCTTAGGCTGCAAACCGGATCCTCACAGCTCTGCGAGAAGCCCACGGCGGTACCTGGGTAAAGGTTCAGCACAATCCACACGGACGGGCGTGAGTAAGGCGCAAGGCCCAAAGAACTTTCGGCACAGCTGTTCGGCGGTGTTGCATGTTGTGTGTGTGTGTGCGAATTGGGGCCAACGAGTTGGCCCAGCTGGAGCCGTGAAACAAAAACCCTAAGGTGAGCCTCAATACTGGAGTCCAAGATTCTTCCATGTAAGGTGGACAGGGTGGACAGAATATGAAGCAGATTCTGAAAAACCCCCCCAGGGTTGGGCCCCGACAAGCATAGCTGAAAGTTGTGTTTGTCAATAGCAGTGGCATCCCACGATTTATTTTGACATATGTTGAGTCATATTTCACCGTGCGTTTAATAAGCCCAGTGGATCTCAGTTACCCTTCTAGTAGGCAACACTTTTTTTTCCTTTTGGTGTTTGAAGGGTGGTTCCCTTGGTTACCTACTATACATGCAGGTAAATGGATCTTTGAAGGGAAAGACAAAGGGAACAACGCTGATCTTGGAAAGGCCTGACGGGTCCAATGTAGATGGGGTGGATCGCTAAGTAGCCCCGCAGCTAACCCCCAGTTGGTTCCCTGTAAATTGATATGGCGCATGAAAAGGGTATGCCCGAAAAGGAGGTTCTTCCAGCAAAATATGTTTGGGGGTTCCCGTGGTGCCATGACAATCTACCAGGGACCAATTCTCCTTCTGTAAATTTGTGTCACGGGTCACCAAGATTCACAAATAGTCTTAACCATTGAGCAATGTGAATCTAACAAGTTGGACCCACTTGTTCAGTTGTTCCTCCCCTGCGCTTAAGAATATGTTTCAATGTTCCCCTCTTGGTTTTCAAAAAAAATCGAACACTGGACATATGTGCTTGGTTTTTTCCTTACGGTAATTACGGGACGAAGAAACCCATGGGTCGGGTTCCCCGACTTTTGGCTCGGGCTCGGCTCCCGGGCCTTCCGCGGGGGAAAAGAGAGCCTGAGCCGAGGTTTGGTTTGAGGAATATCTTTAGGCGATAGGGGACGCACTCCTCAGAGTTTCTAGAAGGAAGCTCCTTCAAAAGGCCGCTGTATATGGAAAGAAGCCTTACGGAAGTAAGGGGGTTCAAGTGGAGCACACTCCTGTATGGCAATTTGGCAACGGATCTTTGGACTTTTCGGAGATGGATCCCAGGCATTTGAAGACATGCCGTTGGATTGCAAGAGCTTCTGACCTGATGCATCAAGGCTCCCGACTTGTGTTGCCTTGTCTAGGTCCCCCAGCTAGGTGCCCGCTCTTTTACCCCTTTATTGGTGGGGGGGTTCCGCTACTAACATAGACGACAGAAAACAAATCGGGCCCTTATTCGAACCTTTCTACTGGAGGACCTAGTTGTTGCTTTTGTTTCATCCATACAACTGGTTTGACTTTGGAGGTTCCCTTATTCAGAGTTCATCGATGCGTCAAGGAGTGGAGCCCCACAACGGTGTTGCTTAATGTTGTTTATGAATATGATGTGGGGGCCCCCGCCAAAAGTGGTCTGAATCCAACCACTAAAAAAGAAACTTGAGAAGCACCCCCCATGAATTAACGGCTTGGTTGAATCCGGGGTCAACATTCTGGTTAAGCCCTTGCGCCCCTTTGTTTTAATGCCAAAGTATTTGGTTTAGTTGTTCTTTTTCTCCAACCTGTTGGTTTCAAAGGGAATCAATTTCACTACATTTTCTCATGTTTTTTCCAGGAGGCGAAAACGGAAATGGCTTGGCACAGCTTGGCGCTGCCGTTTTCGTCCGAGGCAAGGTGGAGCACGGGGGCCCGGAGGTGCTGCCCAGCACTGAGGCCGTTTTTTTGTTTGCGGGATTTTGGGGGTTCGGAAGTGTTGTTTGCGTCAGATGTTGGGAGCTTTTTATTTTTGGTGCTTCCCCCATGTGGTTTTAAAGGGAGTCGATTTCACTACTGGAAACATGGCGAGTAAGTCCCGAGGACTTAAGCAAGTGGAGGATGTTGTTTGTGGTTTCAAGCCTCACCTTTGAGCTCAAGTGAGCTGTTTTCAGGCAGGGGAATCTGGCAACCAGCCCTGCTTGATTCCGTTGAAGGTTATTCAACCTTAGAATTCTATTTCGCGGCCGATCACCCATTTGCCTTTCTCAGCTTCAACTCGACCAGTGCGAAACAGAACCAGCACGGAAACCCATGTTGGCAGGGCCCCCCATTCAACACGCAGCTGGTTTGCCCGATCAGCAAATGTGTGGAGGGATTTTAGACCCGTCCAGGGTGTGGCCCAAGATTGAACCAGCAGTTGTGTTTCGTCACCTGTGGCAATTCAGGCATCCGGAATACCAAGCAAATCGATTCCCTGTTCAGTGCCAAAATAGTGAAAGGGATGGAGTCCCACTGTGGTATCGCAGGAATGGCAAAATGTCCTGTAAGCATGTTCTCACTGGATCAAGATTACTCCAATAAAAGGGAGTCAAATCTCTTGTTTTCGTTTTTTTTTTTGAGGAGTCATTTGGATTCCGTTTGTTTTGTCCCGTCTTAGCAACTCCAAGACGGCTCCATATCCAAAACGACAATCATGATATCCCCCCCCTCCTACACACCCAGGAAACAGCGGGCTGGCTGGTCAGTGTGCGGTGCAAAGGGCTCACTTCCACTCCTAGACCTAGCTTGGGTTTCTTAGGTATCCATCACTTGGAGCCGCCTTAAGAATGAGCATGTTCTGTAGGTTGTTTTTTTGCTCGAATCTGCGTCAATGTATGTTTTTCTTTTTTTCTTTCGATTCTGTATCAACTTATTGTACATTTGTACCATATTATCATGGATATCTCGTTGGGGGGCTCATTCATGACAGGATGTTCCAGTCAGTGCGGGTTTTTGTGTTTGTTTTCGCGGCGACCCTCGCAGGTGCAGTCCGCAGATCGCTTTGTGCAGCCCACCATTGTGGTGGACCCCAGCAAGGCGCAATGCTCGGGGCCTCGAGCTTCCGTGGACCCTTTGATGGGACACATCAAAGCAACAAAACGAGATCCCTTAAGATGCCGCTACTGTTGGGTTGGATCTTTGGACTTCTCCTTTTTTGGATTCCCCTCATTTTTCCCTGGCAAAAAGTTAAACGCCTTTTGTCTGGGGGATCTACAGCACCCAACTTAAGCCGCTGCCTTTGACAACCTGCGCGAAATACAAGGAGTGGTGGTTGACTCCAAGTGGCTCACTTGCTCGTTGGCTCAGTCGCCCTTTCCTGGGTTCATTTGGAATAGCCGCATAGCCTCTATTTGGCACCAGGCTGGTGGTGGTCAAAACCGTTTTGGGATCCCGTGTTGGTTGGGATTGGTGAATTCGCCGCCCATTTTGGGCGAACCCTATTTTAGCGGTTGGATTGGGAGGTTCACTGGGGGTACGATTTGGATTTTGACCCATGGCCACCAATGCATCACTTATGCATGTTTTCTTGGGTACTCGGCAGTTCGCGCCGGTCGGATGTTTGCCAGGACAGCCTGCTGATGCAGGAGGAGACCCGGTTTGTTGGAGAATGATGGGCGTACCACTTGGTTCTTGAAAAACATCCAGGTCGTGGCATGCATGTCTTCATTCAACGGAGTTCCCCCAGATGGCTTCTTGATCGTTTCCCTTCAACGGGGTTCAACTCATTTTCTCTTTGGTGAAAGCATGGAGTGAGTTCCCGAACGCGTTGCAGGCAAACACTTACACTGAAGCTTCACACAGAGCCTCACTTATTCTTTCCCTCAACTACCATATTCTTATAGAACTCGGATCGGTACCTGAAAAGCAAACATGCATACCTCCAGTCCAGCTCACGTCTTCCTTAGTCACCAGCTTGACTTGCGAAGGCCGCAAGCTTGCGGCCTAAGCATGGTTGTTGTTGGGAAACATTTTCCATTTTTGATATTATTGTGGTTTAGTGGTTGAAATCCAAATCCACTTAACAGCTAAAATTTGACAATGTGTGCTCCCCTTCCAACGTCAACCAAGTAAGGTCAAGTAGTGGTTGGTCCCGGAGGTGGGCACTTAGACGACCCGAGGGCTTCTGCCGTTGAAGCAACGCCCTTTGTTTTCTTCGGATGTTCCTTCAGCGGTGGTTGTCAACTTGGGTTTCCTATATTCCTGTTGGGTTTCACGCGGCCCAAGATTGGTCCAACGTGAAGAGAGTGTTCTGGGTCAGGTGATGTTTGCGGATTGGAGGGTTCCGCCAAACGAGTCTATCAATTTAAAAGGGACAAAGGCATGTCCTTTTTGGTTGTTTTGCTCGAAAAATCGAGGGCGATTCCTGGTTTACCTGTTTTTTTTTTGTTCTCATCTACCAGGGAAAAAAACCATCTATTTCCAACCTAAAAGGACACCCATGGACCAAGGCGTTCTCTGGATTTCCGAGGGCGGAATTTCTCTTTGTCCAAGCAGGAGCCCTGCTTGGCCCAAAATCTTCATGGAGCAGCCCCTTGAACAGGGCTCCTTAAAAGAGATACAAGTTTTGCCACCATTTGAAACCAGGAAAACAAGTACTTGTTCAGGGCTCCTTAGAACAAATTCATTTTGCCACCATTTGAAACATGGCTGGCTTTTTCAACACCAAAATAAAGTTGGACGCCTCCATTTACAAGCTGCAATGTGTAGAATGCATCCGGATCCCTGTTGAAGCTATGCCAAGACCCTTTGGAGGTTTCAGACATGAGAACCTGTCAGGGTGAGTCTTCTTTTTAGGAATCGAACCCGCCTTCTTTTGGGTCTGCGTTTAAAACCAAACAAAGGCGTACCCTCAAAAGAAGACGTCCCTGGGGCTTCCATTTGTAGCACAAGAAGTATGCCCCCTCACCATCCAGTCACCTAAAACGAGCGACATGCTTGCCGCACGTTTTTTGTCTTCCTAAGCAGCCAACGCAGACACATCCAATATTTTCCAGGGAACACCCGTCTCTATTTTGCCTATAAGCCCCTATGGGAATTTCAGTACAGTTCCCCATAGTTCCCTACATCTTCTATGGTGTTTCTTTTGAGGGTACCCTTTGTTTGCGGTTCAAAGGGACGAGGACATTTGAATCGTCTTCCTTTTGGAGCCAAATCTTTGGTGCATTTTGCTTGGCTGTTAGGACTTTAACTTTTTGCCAACTGGTGGGTTTGCCATGAAACCACTAAAAGTTAAACTTTTAGCAGGGGAGCAGAAAGCAACCGAGAAATGGGGAAGGTCCGCCCCCTGAACATCCAGTTGGGATGGTCCTGCCTAATCCAGTCCACCAAGCCACCAACATCCAAACCGCCAACATCCACACCACCAAGTAGCGGGCACGGTGGTATATTGCCCCTGTCTCCTCCTAGGTCCCCCAGTGGTTTTTAGCCCCTTTTTTTTTGGTTCGGAGGGTTCCCCTACTAAAATAGACTACAGAAAAAGAAAAGTTGGTACCCTTGTTCTAACCTCTCTAGTCTGGAGGACCTAGCCTCATATCTTCCACGTCGTGAAACCGCCCGGACCAGGAGATCTTCGGGCCGGTGCTGCCGATTCTGACGGTCGCCAGCTGCGATGAGGCGGTGAGCTACATCAACTCCAAGCCGACGCTCGGCGCTTGGGGGGGGGGGCAGTAGCCAGCGACGCTAGACTTGGGATGTTCAACGAAGTATGGAGGCTGTATGGTTGTGACTTGGGAGTAAGTGGGAAGTAGGCTCCAACTGTGGGTCTAACTTAGGCAACTGCGGTGATCGTCTACTTTTGGTCATTGTTATAACCTACTTGTTTAATTGGGGTGAACATGCAAGTATGGGTGGGTGTGTTCTTTGGTTTCCCGTTTAAAACACAGAAATGGGGTACCCTGAAAAAAGGACACCCCTATGGCCCATAACATGGGGTGTAGCCACCATTTTGGGATACCGTGTTGGGGTCATACCCTACCGACACGACAAACAATGTCGCCTTGGACCATTTGGCTGCAAATCATAGACATATTTTGGGGGACACGGCGCACATGCTATCATCAAACCCAATCGATCCCAGGCAGGACCCGAAAGAGTAGGTAACCAGCCATTTGCCTTTTGGCTTTCAAAGGGTGTTTAATCATGTTGTCCCCATTCCCCATTGGTTTTTAAAATTTGGTTTTAAAAAGGATGTTTAAAGGATTCTCATTTTGTTGTTAATTTGTTTCCCTTGGTTACCTACGATGGGGAAAAAAAACACTATGAAGTACTGATTTGGAGGCGCAGCCTACGGGGAGCCATGGGATGGGTTCACGGCTAACGGGGCGAAGATTGTCGCTGGTCGCTATTGGGCTGCAATGGCTTTTCCTGCAAAGACAACTGTTTTTTGTATTTCTTGTTTTTTGTGCTTTTACGAGGTTGCGTTTTTCTTGTCTTCAAGTGGAAACCAACAGGAACCCGAAGTCCTTCCTGGGGGCTTCCCTTACGAGGTCCCCCACTATTGCCCTTTCTCACCCCTTTTTTGGTTGGGAGGGCTATACCCTTATTCCAACCTCTCTACTGGAGGACCTAGCTTAAAGCAAAGACCCCCAATGGAGTTTCTGTCGGTTTCCCTTCATTTTGGTGCCAGCTCCCCAGGAAGCCGTTGGCGGTGTACGTCTTCGCGCCGCAAGCGGTGGTAGACCACGTGATGGCCTCGACCAGTTCGGGCTCGGTGGTGGTGGGAGACGTCATGGTGCAGCGGGGCAACCCCTCCCTGCCCTTCGGAGGCGCGAAACGGGTCAACTGACTCAGGGTTTCCGAGCTCTAAGTCCCCCAGCTAGGTGCCCGCTCTTTCTCGCCCCCTTTTTTGGTTGGGAGATTCGGTTCCCCTGCTAAAATAGACTACAGAGAAAAGTTGGTGCCCTTATTCTAACCTCTCTACTGGAAAAGTGGCGATCGTTTCAATGGAAGCCACCTGGAAAAATGATTTGAACTTTGTCTCACAGGGAGGGTGTCTCTTTGGGAGGTTGGTTTGGAAGGGAAACCACAAGGAAGCCACCCATTGTGGGGATTTCCAAAGTTTTGAGATACAACCAAATGATATGGACTTGGTCGATTTTCGGTTGGTTTCCTTCAATACCACATAGAAAGGAGAAAGGCACCCTCACAAATCACAAACTCAAATAGGTCCCCAAGTTGGCGATGGTTTCCTTTTAAGGCGTCCCTTAAACACCAACCAACAAACAGGGGGTTCCCCCGAAAACGACACATCTGCCTGCATCTGGAGTTGGGTGAAAATAGGTTTTTCCTTTACTTACCCTAAAGGGAATTGTGCCATCTACTTGCGCCCGGTATCAAAAACGTTGGGTCCTTGTTTGGTCTGGTCAATTTGCCAACCACGATGGTTCCGATTTGTACGATGAGAGATGATCATGGATCCCCTCAACTGGATTCCGGCCCACCCGAAGTTCCCACCAAAAACAAAAGGACTCTTGGCGGATCAACATGTTTTGTCCGTGTCCGGTGGGGTGCTGCTTGAAACAGATGGACCAATCACATGGGGGACTGATTCCTTTCGAAAAAGGATCCATAGGGTGAGAACCCATTTGAGCGGATCCATTTACTTGTATAGTACCTGGAGATTCATTCTCCATGAATTTCCTTCTAGTTCTCGTCTTTAACTTGCTTTTCCTGAGTATCGATGTGTTTTTCGTGAAGTCGCCTAAAACTACTAAAATTCCTATATGTCCGTGAGATCTCAGAATTGGTCCCTTTTCACGATTTCCCCGCCCGGAATGACCCGCACAATTCCCGCAAAAAGCCCGCAAACGCCCGCAAAGCCCCGCAAACGCCCGCAAATTAGACAAAGACGTTTTTTGGGTTCGGGGGTCGCCCAAGACTCGTAAAATCCATTTAGAACGCCCACCACGCTCAAAACTACCAGGAAACCAAAACGCCTAGGAAAAGGCCGGAGAATGAATCTTCAGGTAGGTAACCAAGGGCTTGCCACCTTTTACCAAAAGGAAATAGCGAAGGGTTACCTAGGGCTTATAACTAAGATCCTGGTTGCCCATGACTTGAACCGCCGGAAACCTACGTTCACCCCCCCCCCCTGTTCCCCCCCCCGTCCCCCCCCCCCCCCCCCGTTCCTCCCCGTTCCTCCCCCGTTCCCCCACCCCCCCCCCGGGCTCGATTCGCTCAACCTTTACTTCCATTTGCTTAAAAGGATTTGTTATTTTCCCTTGTCGGATTGAAAGGGAATCTATCACTACCGTTTTTTTTTGTCCAGGCGGCGAAAACGCAAAAAGCTTAGATACCCCGTGATCCCCCGATGTGTCGATCCTCCCTCGATTTGGTCCCAACTCGAGGCATCGGCGGCTCGGGCATCGGGCGCCTGCAGGGCGTCTCCGGCTTCGAAGAGTTCTCCAACAAGCGATCCGCACCTCGGACCACGGGATCTCCGGGTCGCTCCGATCTTCGGGTCCTTCGGGTGGGTCGGGTCGGGGGATTGCTCAGGACGTGCTCGATTGGTCGGTTTCATGACTGGTCCGGTGGAGGTGTGGCAAGGAACCGCTGTTGGGAAGTCCCTCAAAAAGGAAGGCCTACATTATTCCCGCGCCTCCATTGTTCGGGGGGGGTTATCTTATTAATCAAGTGCCAACATTAGCATACGATCTCTGTTTGTCTTCCTTTCGCAAGCCTCGCCTTTCAAAAGGAGTCAAGAGGCTTCATGGGTTGCATTGGAATTTCCCAAATTGGAAAGCCTTAAAGAAGACCCAAAGGTCCAACTTCTAAATAGCTTAAGCTTCAAGCCACGCCGTCCAAATATGTGGTTCTCCGTTTTGCGATTTGAGCGCTTCTCAAGATGGGCCTCCTTTTCGTGTGCAGGGAAAGCAAAAATTCGGAGTCCAGCGACCTGAAGGGGTCCCGAATTTTAGGGGTATCCAACCATTTCCAGGGATCAAACACCCATCAAAAACCATCAAAATTGGAAAACAAGAAAAACACATTCTTTCCTGAAAACCCCAAAATGGTTTATTCTTTTTCAGGAAACCATCAAAAAAGAAAGGTTGGGAAACAGATCCGGTTTTTGAGAAGAATGGGGAATCAACCCCTAGACGTTTATCCTGTTGGTGGTTTCCCGTTTGAAGGATAAATGGGTGTGTCTTGTTGAGCTGGTTGTCGTTTTTGCTTCCCTTGAACACCAACCAAACACTCAAGGCAGACATCCAAATGCCAGCCAATATGGTTGAAGCCCTGTGTGGAGCCCACATTGTTTCCCTTGCGGTTCTGAATACGCGTTTTTGTGGGCCGCTTTTCATAAAACGAGAAGCCACGCCCACCTGGCACAAAAGGTACAGCAAAGCCTTGATTCGTATGATTGGGTGATTGCTTCTACTGATTGAACTGGGGTAAAATGAGTGAGCTCGCGGCGATGGAGGATCCTTGTATGGAGTGTTCTCAATGAGCCTTCTGATTCTCCAAATTTGTTGGGCAGAATTACCGGTCCGATTTCGGACCCCGTGGCAAATTGCTAGATATGCATATACCCTGGTGCAATTGTGCGTACCATTTTCGGGGCCCAGCCATACATATATGTATATATATAGAGGCACTTTCAAGCATATTCCCATCCCTGATCCCCCTTGTCACCGCTGAGATTGGAAACTCGAGATTCTGCATGTGGGTGGCTGGTTTTTTTTGGGAATCGGTCTCAAAAAGCAGTCACTTGCAAAGCCGCGAACGGAGCGGATCTGACTTTTGGTTTGCCCCCAAAGGGGGTTGCGATTTATGGCGCTGAAAGGTGATCGCCTTTTACTTTTGGGTCCTTCCATGGTTGTCGTTGGGAAACATGTTTTCCTTTTTTTCTTATTGTGGTTTAGTGGGAAATCCCCACTTCGCTGCCAAAAATTAAATGTTTGCTCCCCTTCAATGTCAACCAAGTTTGGGCAGTGTGAGTTTGTTTATTCTCTTCTTTCAGAAGTAAGCTTCCTTTCAGTGGGAGATGTTTGAGAGCGAAGCCTTGCTTGATCCGTTTTGGGATGGTCCTGACATGTTGCGGTATTTGTGGATCTCCAGGCCCTTACAGCCTCATGACAATTTGTCAAACAGTTTGTTCAGATTCGTCCTGTCCCCTCGAACAGCCCGAACAGCAACAACCCCAAGAGGCCCAAGACCTCATTGAGATTATGCGCAGGTCAAACGCCTCCTTTATGCCTACAAGAAAAGAATGATAACCATGAGGAGAAGCCATCGACTTTCACCCAACGCTGTGTTCATTCCCAAAACATCATTCTGGGTGGTACCTCTTTTTTGTTGGTTTTTTTCAAGTGGGAAGTTCACAGCATGTCTGGTCCAAGAGCTTCCTATAGAGACCTTCGCCCCTTGGGAGGCGACGTCTTTGGGAGGTGAGCCACAATCAAAAGCCCGGGGATTGATGAAGCTTAAGGGGCAGTCCGTCTTGGCCAGAAATAGGTTGCGGATATCCGCCTTCTGAAAATTATTGAAGCATGGTTCTGGGATCGACCATTTTTGTACCGGGTTTTGATGACTTATGTCGGCTTTCAAAGGTCATCCGCAAGATCCTTACCTTTCGTCACGCAAGGAAGCGGTCCCGGTCCCCTAGTGGCTTCCCCTTCTTCGGGATTCCGGAAAATCGGATTCCTGGAGATTCCAATGCCGAGGAATTCCTAGGCGTTCTGGTTCTCAAGGCGTTTTAGGCGTTTTGGGCGTTTTGCGGTTTGTTGCGCTTTTTTTGCGGGCGCTTGCCCCTTTTTTGCGGGCGTTTTGCGGCAATTTGCGGGCGTTTGCGTCCAAAACAGGGTCAATGCCGAGAATGACTAGGAATTCCTGGACGTTTGAATCTCCAGGCTGGTTCCGGGTGACTCGGGCTCTCGGGACTCGCCTTGACTCGGGCGACGATAGGTGATGCACCGCCCGCTGATGGTGCCCTCGGCTTTGCGCCTGCCGGGCGATGCCGCGCTGGCCAAGGTGGCGTGGATGCCCCGCGGACGAGAAAGGACGGAGGGAGAGACACAAATGGTCCCTTCAAAGGGCTTACCGGCTTACCTGTCTAGGTCCCCCAGCTAGGTGTCCTTTTAGTCACCCCCTTTTTTGGGGGAAGGGATTTCCCCTACTAAAATAGACTACAACAAAAGGGTACCCTTGTTCTAACCTCTCTACTGGAGGAACTAGCTGTAGCTTTAAACGACCAGAACGTAGTTGCCTGTTTCGTATCATTTTGGAATACTGTGGATGGTTGCGAAATTCGGAACCGTACCGAATTGAAACTATAGGAACCAGTGTTTGGGAATCATCATTCCAGGGCTTCTTAGGTATTTGAATCATGGAACCCCAAAGGGGGCTATGGGGAGGGGGGTTATCCATTGTAGACAAGATTCTGGCCAATGTTTGTTCTGCTCTGGCGAGTCGTGAGCATGTTTGGGATACGTCCTTACCGAACGAACCACTAGGCAAGATGGAGCACAAGCAGCATTACCCCAAGTGCGAAGGAGCAATCTATAGTGTTGGCCGCTATGATCCGAGCACGTACTTAAACGGTTCAAGATCAGGTCAATGTATCGTCGGATTGAAGGTTGCCTTTTGTTTGGCAAGCGCTGGGCGCGCGCGTTGCGGGACCTATTCGAAGAGGGCAATCTGGGTGGTGTAGGCGCAAAAAGGGTTACTCACTTTGTGACGAACTGGGTAGAGTACTGCAAGCCGAGCTAGTCATGAGGAGAATTCCCGTGCCAGGCCAACAGAGAAAAACAACATATCGTCACCAGCAGGGCGGTCCCTTAGGACTACTTTATTCCATTCTCCCCTAAACTTGCAGATTGCCTTATGGTATGCCAAGCTGGTCCGCGAAAACGTAGAGAAAGGACCACCCTGGTTTCAGGCAATTCACGTTGGCCCTATTGGGCATGTGTTGATTTGATGAATTCTTTTCTGATTGGTCTGATTTGGAACTTAAAGACTACCAACAAAGTTGGAGCAACAACCCTGATTTGAGTCAACTAATATTGCCCCTGGTACATCATTTTTGGACAGCTCAAACCGTTGGTCTCAAGTCTCCATGACATTTGAAACACGGGATTTTGCCCCTACTAAAATAGACTACAGAAAAAAAGGTACCCTTATTTTAACATCTCTACTAGAGGACCTAGCATCTTAGCGGCACAACAAAAGCCAGCCTTGTTTGGCCCATCCACTCGATCGGAAGTGAATTGCCTAGCAGACTCTCTATTATTTCCTTCCATTTGCTGAATAACACTTGTTACTCTCCCTGGTTGGTTTAGAAGTTGGAATCGATTTCACTGGACGTATGTTCTCGTATTCTGTCCAGGCGATTATTCGCAAATGGAACTAGGTTCTCCAGTAGTGCCCTTTCACCCTTTTCTGAGTTTTCTTGGCTCTCGGTCGGAAGTTGTGCTTTCTTTCTGATCCATGCCATCATGGGGGCTGGGGGGGAGGGAGCCCAAATAAGCCCCCCCCAGCCCCCATGATGCCGGAAGCATGACTTGTGCCCGGACTAGTTGGAAGATTTCAACTAAACATTTTGGTGTGTCACTTTACGATGGCGCCTTTTGGGGGTGGTTTTGCAGGGAAAAGAACAAACACAAATTTTCAGGGTCCATAATTATGTTCGGTTGACACGACCCCTTAAAGGCAACTCGGAGTTGTACGGGGGCTCATCGGGTGTTGGGTTCTGCATACCAAGCGCCACCCATGGCCATTTGGGACCCTTTGGGGGCTGAGTTCCCACAATCAAGCCTGAACTAATGGGTAATTCACCCATAAACGAGAAATTCATTGGGATGGGATCATAAGTACATCAGGCTTTCTTTCAGCCCGATAAGGCAGCTCCGAACCATTCCAAAAACGGGTACAATGGGGGGACACAACCCTCTCCGACCCCTTGAAAATCAAGGATCCCCTAATACTAGCACGCACTGGTTTTAGATGAAGCCTCTCCCTGTGTATAAGCCTTCAGGGGCTATGGTTTCCACGGGAAGCAACAGACGTTTTGCTCTAGTGCTACCTGGCTTCATGAGGATCATAGTAAGGCCTATGTAAACCTTTGAGTACAAGCTGCAGCAGCTCAAATCTCAGAGGCGCAAAAAAAGCAAATCGAAGCATCACGCCAGGAAGCTCGATCAATCCAAAAGTATGTTTCAAGCAATACCAGCGAAGAAGATGCTCTTTATCACTGACTTCCTGAGTTTAGTTTGCTTCAATCACTTTTGGGAAGACCATGTTAGCATACAGACAAATTGGACCTTACTTTTTCTGGCCAATCCACTGGATCGGAGAGATCAGAAACCAGAGCCCCAGGTGAGTCACAGTCAAAACCCGGGCGTACTTGCAGGCTAGTAAGGGACAAGCCCCTAGCCGGTTTTTAGAGATCAGAAGGCGAAGCCCCAAGTTTCGATTCCCCATTCTTTTCAACTAGCTGTTTCTCCTGGGTTTTTGATGGTTTCCTGAAAACAAGGATCCCTAAGAATGGTCATGGACGCTTCTGCTAGATGAACCAGTTGCCCAGTGGATTCCACCATTTGTCCTTGGGACAACGGCTCCCGCCCCCCCCCCCCGTTTGTGTTAGTGGTTCGCAGTGGGTGTTTAGGTGTTTCCATTTAACCCACTCAAAGTGATTTACCAGGTCTCCCTGGGTGTTTGGATGGTTTCCTGAAAAGAAGGATCCCCGAGAATGGACATGGACGCTTCCCCTAGATGAACCAGTTCCCCAGGGTTTTTGTTAGTGGTTCGCAGTGGCCCTTGAAAGCAGTTTGAGGGCCCAAAAAGCATCGGGAGCCTTAGGGTGGACCCTTTTTTCCCCTTCACTCGACTGCTATTGTGTTGGATCTTTAGACTTTAACTTTTTGTGAAATCATGGGGTTTTCACAAAAAGTTAAACTTTCGCTAAACCCACAAAAAGTTAAACTTTTTGCAGAGGGTCAACAGCAACCAAGTTTAGTCCTCCTCAGGTATGCCAACGTGCATCCCCGCACCTTGAAGAACGTGGGCCGGGGCGGCAAGCTTCTGGCGCTGCTGGTCTTTGTCCTCGCCTGTCGGAAGCTCGGCCGCTTCCTGCGGCCGTCCTTGTGAGACGAGAAAAAACAAGGCAAAGGCTGGAGAACCTCTCAGCAAATGGAGGCTTATTTTTCGCGGAATTTGTTTTTCTTGAACCCAGAAAACTGCAGATAACCTGAGAAAGGAACTCCACTTGGTCTCTGGAGGCTCATATTTGCGGATGTCTTACCCTTTAACCGTCATCGCCAACTGAACGGCCCAATCACAGAGATGCGCAGCGTAGCCGGCCACGAGCGCGTGGGAGATACGCACGCCGAAGGTCAAGCTTGGCCGGGTTTAAGGGCTGGCCCAAGACCAGGTTTCTTGGCGGCTTGCCATAGACTTTTCGCGGTTTAGAGGATTCATGACTCTGAGATGGAAAAAACACTACACCCAGGGGTTAAATGGGATACTCAGCCACTGTATGCCACTATATAACGGGGTATATGCCCCAATTTACCGGGGGTAGTGGAACCCTCTCAGACTGACGCATCCCGCGGAAAGTTTTGTCCTTCAAGCGATCGGCAGACGCATGGAGCCCATTTAGCCATTCGCAAAAACACGCCAAGGGCACCGGATTGCAGAGATTTCAGGTGACATTCTCTTATGTACCCTCTTAACCCGTGGTTTAAACTCTGCGTCTTATGTACCCCTCTTAACCAGTGGGTTTAAACTAAATCAACATGTTTAAGCTGACATCCTCTTATGTACCCTCTTAACCAGTGGGTTTAAACTAAATCAACACGCTTAAGCTGACATCCTCTTATGTGCCCTCTTAACCAGTGGGTTTAAACTAAATCAACATGCTTAAGCTGACATCCTCTTATGTACCCTCTTAACCAGTGGGTTTAAACTAAATCAACACGCTTAAGCTGACATCCTCTTATGTACCCTCTTAACCAGTGGGTTTAAACTAAATCAACACGCTTAAGCTGACATCCTCTTGTGTACCCTCTTAACCAGTGGGTTTAAGCTAAATCAACACGCTTAAGCTGACATCCTCTTATGTACCCTCTTAACCAGTGGGTTTAAACTAAATCAACACGCTTAAGCCGACATCCTCTTATGTACCCTCTTAACCAGTGGGTTTAAACTAGATCAACACGCTTAAGCTGACATCCTTTTATGTACCCTCTTAACCAGTGGGTTTAAACTAAATCAACACGCTTAAGCTGACATCCTCTTATGTACCCTCTTAACCAGTGGGTTTAAACTAAATCAACACGCTTAAGCTGACATCCTCTTATGTACCCTCTTAACCAGTGGGTTTAAACTAAATCAACACGCTTAAGCTGACATCCTCTTATGTACCCTCTTAACCAGTGGGTTTAAACTAAATCAACACGCTTAAGCTGACATCCTCTTATGTACCCTCTTAACCAGTGGGTTTAAACTAAATCAACAGTGGGTTTAAGCTGACATCCTCTTAAACGTTTAAACTAAATCAACACGCTTAAGCTGACATCCTCTTATGTACCCTCTAACCAGTGGGTTTAAACTAAATCATAGCTGACATCCTCTTATGTACCCTCTTAACCAGTGGGTTTAAACTAAATCAACACGCTTAAGCTGACATCCTCTTATGTACCCTCTTAACCAGTGGGTTTAAACTAAATCAACACGCTTAAGCTGACATCCTCTTATGTACCCTCTTAACCAGTGGGTTTAAACTAGATCAACACGCTTAAGCTGACATCCTCTTTGGGACCAGTGGGTTTAAACTAGATCAACACGCTTAAGCTGACATCCTCTTATGTACCCTCTTAACCAGTGGGTTTAAACTGTTTACAACTGAACCCTCTTAACCAGTGGGTTTAAACTAGATCAACACGCTTAAGCTGACATCCTCTTATGTACCCTCTTAACCAGTGGGTTTAAACTAATCAACACGCTTAAGCTGACATCCTCTTATGTACCCTCTTAACCAGTGGGTTTAAACTAAATCAACACGCTTAAGCTGACATCCTCTTATGTACCCTCTTAACCAGTGGGTTTAAACTAAATCAACATGTTTAAGCTGGCATCCTCTTATGTACCCTCTTAACCAGTGGGTTTAAACTAAAAACACGCTTAAGCTGACATCCTCTTATGTACCCTCTTAACCAGTGGGTTTAAACCAAATCAACACGCTTAAGCTGACATCCTCTTATGTACCCTCTTAACCAGTGGGTTTAAACTAAATCAACACGCTTAAGCTGACATCCTCTTATGTACCCTCTTAACCAGTGGGTTTAAACTAAATCAACACGCTTAAGCTGACATCCTCTTATGTACCCTCTTAACCAGTGGGTTTAAACTAGATCAACACGCTTAAGCTCACATCCTCTTATGTACCCTCTTAACCAGTGTGTTTAAAGGTTTAAACTAAATTAACACGCTTAAGCTGACATCCTCTTATGTACCCTCTTAACCACTGTTTAAACTAGATCAACACGCTTAAGCTGACATCCTCTTATGTACCCTCTTAACCAGTGGGTTTAAACTAAATCAACACGCTTAAGCTGACATCCTCTTATGTACCCTCTTAACCAGTGGGTTTAAACTAAATCAACACGCTTAAGCTGACATCCTCTTATGTACCCTCTTAACCAGTGGGTTTAAACTAAATCAACACGCTTAAGCTGACATCCTCTTATGTACCCTCTTAACCAGTGGGTTTAAACTAAATCAACATGTTTAAGCTGACATCCTCTTATGTACCCTCTTAACCAGTGGGTTTAAACTAAATCAACACGCTTAAGCTGACATCCTCTTATGTACCCTCTTAACCCTTTTGGTTTTTAAACTCAACAAATCCTCTTATGTACCCTCTTAACCAGTGGGTTTAAACTAAATCAACACGCTTAAGCTGACATCCTCTTATGTACCCTCTTAACCAGTGGGTTTAAACTAAATCAACACGCTTAAGCTGACAATGTACCCTCTTAACCAGTGGGTTTAAACTAGATCAACACTTAAGCTGACATCCTCTTATGTACCCTCGTAACCAGTGGGTTCAAACTAGATCAACACGCTTAAGCTGACATCCTCTTATGTACCCTCTTAACCAGTGGGTTTAAACTAGATCAACACGCTTAAGCTGACATCCTCTTATGTACCCTCTTAACCAGTGGGTTTAAACTAAATCAACACGCTTAAGCTGACATCCTCTTATGTACCCTCTTAACCAGGGGTTTAAACTAAATCAACACGCTTAAGCTGACATCCTCTTATGCACCCTCTTAACCAGTGGGTTTAAACTAGATCAACACGCTTAAGCTGACATCCTCTTATGTACCCTCTTAACCAGTGGGTTTAAACTAAATCAACATGTTTAAGCTGACATCCTCTTATGTACCCTCTTAACCAGTGGGTTTAAACTAGATCAACACGCTTAAGCTGACATCCTCTTATGTACCCTCTTAACCAGTGGGTTTAAACTAAATCAACACGCTTAAGCTGACATCCTCTTATGTACCCTCTTAACCAGTGGGTTTAAACTAGATCAACACGCTTAAGCCGACATCCTCTTATGTACCCTCTTAACCAGTGGGTTTAAACTAAATGAACACGCTTAAGCTGACATCATTTTATGTACCCTCTTAACCAGTGGGTTTAAACTAAATCAACACGCTTAAGCTGACATCCTCTTATGTACCCTCTTAACCAGTGGGTTTAAACTAAATCAACACGCTTAAGCTGACATCCTCTTATGTACCCTTTTAACCAGTGGGTTTAAACTAAATCAACACGCTTAAGCTGACATCCCCTTATGTACCCTCTTAACCAGTGGTTTAAACTAAATCAACATGTGCACTTTCGGGGACAGAGGTCTTGGACTGGGCCGATCGCGGCGACTTCAGCGAGAATTCGCCGCGTGTAGGTAGGTCAGCGCCTTCATGCCTGCGCCAAGGGGCGTGCGTGATGGGCAGTTAATTCCGTGCAGACGCAGAGGTCTGCCGCAGTGGGCTGGGCAAATCGAACATGTTTCGGCTCAAAGATCCGCATTTGCTTGCCGGAGCCCAGAACCATTCGGTTTTTTAGATTTTTGTGTTTTTTTGGGGGGAATTAGTGGTAGTTTCCATTTAACCCACTTAGATTGTTGAACACTTTTAGCAGGGGATCTTTTTGGGCAGAGTTTAGGTTTCCTGTTAAGGGACCCAAGTTTAAATGTGTCCAATGTTGCCCAAGTCTTTGCCACATTCGCTGTGGCACTAGCCAGGAAAAGCCGCCAAAAGGAGCGTGGTTCGCATGACTGGCCAGTGTGAAAGGACTGGGGCCCGAAAACAAGGGGGCTATGTAACTTGACTGCTACTGGGTTGGATCTTTAGCTTTTAACTTTTTGGGAAGTCAAGGGGTTTTCCACTAAACCCCCAAAAAGTTAAACTTTTTGCAGGGGGGTCAACAGCAACCAAGGTAATTGCACAAGTTCTTTTGACCATCAGTGATTCAAAGCACCCCACAACCCCATTCCAATTAATAAGAATTAAGGGCCCCCATTCTAATAAGAATTTAGGCCCCTCGCCCTGTCCGAGCTTGCTTCGAGTTGAACATCAAGCAACAAGCTGGTAGAGAATTGATGGGTGAACGTTCCTCTTGGATATCCAATTTCTTTTGGATTTCGTATTCCAAGGGATTTCCTACCTATTACACCCTGTACGCCCTCTGGAGATTTACCCTATTCTAGCCTATGTCCAGATAAAACCTGTTATGTTTCTTTGTGATTTGTTTTTGCTCATTTCCCCAGAGACTCCCAGGGTGTAATGAGTAAATCCTTGGACCTTTACCGCCAATCTCCTACCCCCGAGTCTTTCTAAGGGCCACCTTCCTATTGGGCCAACTTGAATAACCCCCAAATGGACAGAGACCGCACGTCTTGTAGGTGGCCATGTATGTACAACCAAGTTTGGGCTGCATATCAGTTTGGGGTATGCAAGCCGGGCCGCCAGCATACCGGGCCGGCTTGCCAGCGAATTGCCTGGAAGGGATGCGGAAAAAATATGTTTGCGCATCCGGCTCGCACGTGTATGTTGGCTGGCAGCGCGGGCGACAGAACG